AGAGCTCTGGAGAAGGCAAGAGCTGCCCTGAAAGGGGCAGTTGTTGAGGAAGAGTCGTGCCTAAGTCAGTCTTAAGGGACAGCAGAGGGAAATGTTTACCTAGGGGAAATGAAAAAATTCTTGCAAATAATGAATTATGACTGTTTTTGCTTATTTTTGTGAAGGCTGACTTTTCTATCAAGAGTGGGTCTCCTCCATGTGTTAGTCATGACTTGTAGGTCAAATATCAGTAAATAACTTTTCATTTCTAAAACTGTGGTGTGTTTAGCTGAGAAAGTAAAGGGCTACATTACTTCTTTAAAGCTCCCTTTATAAATCCCTTCCTTTCTGGCAGTATAAGACAAATAAATCTTCAGGAACAACACCCATCTAATTGAAGCTGCCAATGTGCTCCTTTAGAGTCATGAGTAAACTCAAGTCTCAAACAATTCCCTCGATGTAACAGGAAATCTTCTAGGAAGGAGAGCACAGAGGAGGTGTGATAATGGCACTGCAGTTACAGAAGGAAACACCACGTTCTGAGGAGATTTACACTGAAGCATGTACTTGTGAAATGACATGCTATCTGGGATTTGCTTTAAATACAACAAAGAAAAGAAGGAAAGAAAAGGGACAAAAAATACCCCCAAATGTGGTAGACTATATGTGTTCTTATTTTTTATATGCTACTGAAAATTTTCATAATCAAATTTTAAAAGTATATAATCAAAAATCCCCACCGAGTCATGAACTACTGGAACTACCTCAGGTGGTTAGCGGGTCTCCTTTGTTACCTCTAATGTGGTGCTTCAGGTATGATCCTGTATTTTAAGTCAATGAGTAACCGTTCTATTCAAGTGTCCAAAGTGTTTAATTTTAACTGTATACGAGTATTACAACAGTTTGCTTCTATTTACTATCTCTGAAATGATGTCTGCACACTAATGATATTTTAAATTTATTTTTAAATAATTAGAATTAAATGAATTAAAAATCTGTGCTAAAATAGTCTTTTTATTGCTTCAACTACTCGGGTCCTGACTCTACTCCACATAGGAAACACAGATCAGATTTCTTATACTGCGTGTACATGAGAATGTGAGATTGTCTCATGATGTCCCAGAGGGTCACGGGCTCTTGGCAACTGCTGCCGCTTCTCTTCAAATGATGCTGATGGTGTTTAAACTGTTGTGCAGACACTGCACTCAGAGGCATTATCCTGATGGCATGCATAAGATCACACTGTGTTCAAAACGGCCCTCAGAAGAGGAGAAGGCGTTTTGGACTTCCCTTTTGTGTCCAAAGGAAAAAAGATCAATCTTCCTTGTTAGGTTAAAAAAACACAAAATAAAACACCCCCCAGCACAGAGGCTGGATGGAGAAGACGACGTGACCACTTGCAACGCGTGTGTGGAGGTCCAGGAGCTGAAAGCTTTCACCTGGCGACTACTACTCACCAGGTGCTTTTTCAACTTCTACAGAATATTCTTTAAATAGGCAGATTTCCACAGGTGGATACTTAAAATATAATCCTATTTACAAAAACTCATTTCACCTACATTCTTCCAGTGACTATAAAAAGTGAAGTGTATCTGTGCCTGTATTTCATGAGAACCATTAACTTTTCTAGGAGTGACACTGTCTAGTTGGGTTACGTGAAACCTTCAATACTTTCACTTAGGTTAGTAGGAGCACTACCTTCAAATATAAATACATAGTCCCCGGTGGAGAAGTACTTAGGAAATACAATCAACAGGACTCATTGACTAAGTGGAGGGCAGAGACACAGACAAGGGAGAGTCTCATGTAATTCCCAGTATGGGCACAGATGATGAGCAAGAGAATGTAGCTGAGAGGGATGGAGAAGTGAGGCGGGTGGGGAGGACATGTGTGCAAAGTCTAGGATGCGCTGATCTGCAGGCACGGTGAAAGAGCGTGGAGGGGTGAGAATGAGGAGCACTGGACAGGAGCGGGGAGCCAGCAGCACACAGGAGGGAGTTGGCACAGCTGGGGCAGTGGAAGAAATCACCCAGAAGATGGAGAAAAGGGAAGAGGCCCAACCCTGAACAGTAGACAGAGCGAGAAAGACATGCACACAACAGCCTGAGGAGGGAGTGTGTCAGGACCACAACAGCTGGGGGAGGTGCAGGGCTAGGATGAGGCCAGATCCGTCTGAGAGACACTGCCAGAAAGAATGCTGCCTGGAAGCGCTGGCTGAGTTGGGAGATGCTACCCAAGGGGGCCGAGCAGAGAGGTGGAAGTACTGGGCTGCTGAGAAGACTGCACCTATGGCCAAGAGCCCAGGAGAAGGATGCTCTGTGGTCCGTGGGGCAAGAAAGACAGGAACCACTGACACAGAGGGAAGCTGCCAATGCCTGAGAGACACACATCCTTGCCTGCCTGTGGGGGAGGAGGGTGTCACTAACGTCCCTTAGCAGACATGCTTTAACGTCTTGAAACTCCCCTAAGATGATTTGGCTCTGCTGCAGAAGCTCTGAGGAGATGGAGCATCAGAGATGACATGGAGACAGATTCGCAGCTTGAGAAGAGTTCTCTGCAGAACTCTTTATCTCCCAAGGTAGAGGAATGTCTGGGAGCGTCTTCTTGGAGTTTCTCAGGAAGGGCAGAAACAAGGGACAGTTTTCCTCCTGTACTCTTTTGTGTGCACTCTTTTGCTGTGTGCTCTTTCGTTCAGAAGTTACCACAAAAAACTCTTCCTCGGTTAAATTAAATTCCTCAGATTTGAATCTGAGGTGCTCTCCTTTTGACCTGTCCACAGTGGACTCAGTCACTGTCCTCTAGGAGAATCATGCTCAGCCTAGAAACACTGGCAGATGTGTCAGCATCTCTACCTTTGTAATGGACACATGTCTCAAGTTCTCAGCATTCTCTCCTTAGAAGGCTCTCAGAGTAACCTGAGAGTCATCTAAGATCCAAAACGTGCTGGAAGGGTATTTTTAAATGTCTGTGTCTCAAAGCACTGCCATATATCAAGCAGCAAAGTATCCTCCCAAATCCAGGAGAACGCAGCAGAAACGAAGTCTTCTCCCCCATACACATGCTGCAATGTTGGTGCTTTCAGGAATTGCAAAAGCTTCATTGCTGCATTACTTTGGATCAACTTTGGACCCAGATTTTTTTTTTTCCAGTCATATTTATTTCTTTGACACTTTCTATTTGTGTCATTCTGTTTTTTTCCCAAGCCCTACAAAAACTATTCTATTTATAAATATATCCCAAGTTTATCAAGCTGAGTTTATATTGTTATTTCTTCTGTGAATTTTCTATTCCCCCAAATACTTTACCAGTCTATCATGGACTGAATTGTGTGCCCCTCCAGATTCATATACTGAATTTTGTTGAACAATTTTGCTGAACCCCCAATGTGACTTTATTTGGAGATAAGGCGTATACAGAGATAATTTATGCTAAATAAGGTGGTATGGGTGGGACCCTAATCCAGTATGACTGGTGTCCTTATACAAAAAGGAAGAGACACCAGGGATGTGGGTACACAGAGAAATGTCTGTGTGAGAACACTGTGAGATGGCGCCATCTGTAGGCCAAGGATAGAGTCCTTAGGAGAAACCTAATGTGCCAACATCTTGATCTTGGACTTCCAGCCTTCAAAACTGTTGAGAAACTTCTGTAGCGTCAGCCACCCAATCTGTCGTATTCGATTGCTGCAGCCCTAGAAGACTAATTCATTCAGTCATCACCCACTGCATAAATTCCAGGTATATATATATATATATATTTTTTTTTTGAGTTGGCTTCTCACTCTGTCACTCAGGCTGGAGTACAGTGGCACACTCACAACCACTACAACCTGATGGGCTCAGGTGATCCTTCCACTTCAGCCTTCCAAGTAGCTGGAAATACAGACGTGTGCCACCACACCCAGCTAATTTTTTTTGGTTTATTGTAGAGACGAGGTCTCGCCATGTTGCCCAGGCTGGTTTCGAACCGTGGGTTCAAGCAATCCTCTCACCTCAGTCTCCCAAAGTGCTAGGATTATAGGCAAGAGCACTGTGCCTGGCAAGTTTAAATATTTGAGGCTGATGTGTCATGATGCCTGTAATTTACTTTTAAAAAACTACAAAAGTATGTGTATTGTGGTGGGGGAGGAGGAGAGAAAGTACAATGTTAGCTTCTAAATAATAAGGAAGAGATATTCTTTCAACTTTCCTCTACGTTTAAAATATCCAGATCAGGATTTAAAGGAAGAATCAATGAATCAAAGAAGAATCTAATGAACTCCCAAAGCTGATTGTAAAGTGAGATATATAATCATTTAGGAAATACATATACGTGTAACACACACACACGTACTTTTCCAGGGTAGGTTTACAACTTTCACCTGATAGTCACTTAAAGTAGTCTACAACCCCCAAAAGGATATACAAACACCAATGCAGAATGAAAAAAATATATTACAAATAGGAAAATAGCTAGTCTTAAAACTCGATGCTTGTAAAATAAGTAGTACTTATGTTCTTGATATTTGACAGAAAGTAGCCTAAAATCCCATTATAATCTGAAATATCTCAAGATGCGAGGGGGAGGTTTTCTTCTAGAAGCTGTTTCTCATATTAAGAGTAGAAAGTTCTACGGGGAGACACCTCTTATCAACAAGGGTGCCTGAACGAAGCATATTTGTATATCTAACCCATAGCTGTCCCCCACAATATCATAATAAAAAATACTGATTATAAAAAAAAAGGAGTAGAAAGTTCTAACAGATGCTGGTGAGGATGCGGAGAAAAGGAAACACTTTTCCACTATTGGTGGGAATACAAACTAGTTCGGCCTCTATGGAAAGCAGTGTGGCGATTCCTAAAAGAGCTAGAAATTGACCTTTCATATAACCCAGCAATCACCCTTCTGGAAATACACCTGCAAGAACTTAAATCACTCGACAAAAAAGATACTTGCACACATATGTTTATTGCAGCACTATTTACAATAGCAAAAACATGGAACCAACTGTGCTGCCCACCAAAACTGTACTGCATAAAAAAACGTGGTACAGATCACTAAGGAGCCGAGGCACTTGGATCTACTAAAAATGCTGGATTACCTCAGTGCCGATCAGTGGAAAACCAAAGAGGATGAGAAGGACGACAAGCCCATCCGAGCTCTGGATGAGGGAGATATTGCCTTGCTGAAAACTTATGGTCAGAGCACTGACTCTAGGCAGATCAAGCAGGTTGAGGATGACATTCAACAACTTCTCAAGAAAATTAATGAGCTCACTGGTATTAAAGAGTCTGACACTGGCCTGGCCCCACCAGCACTCTGGGATTTGGCTGCAGATAAGCAAACACTCCAGAGTGAACAACCTTTGCAGGTTGCAAGGTGTACAAAGATAATCAATGCTGATTCGGAGGACCCAAAATACATTATCAACGTAAAGCAGTTTGCCAAGTTTGTGGTGGACCTTAGTGATCAGGTGGCACCTACTGACATTGAAGAAGGGATGAGAGTTGGTGTGGACAGAAATAAATACCAAATTCATATTCCATTACCTCCTAAGATTGACCCAACAGTTACCATGATGCAGGTGGAGGAAAAACCTGATGTCACATACAGTGATGTTGGTGGCTGTAAGGAACAGATTGAGAAACTACGAGAAGTAGTTGAAACCCCTCTACTTCATCCAGAGAGGTTTGTTAATCTTGGCATTGAGCCTCCCAAGGGTGTGCTGCTCTTTGGTCCACCTGGTACAGGCAAGACACTTTGTGCTCGGGCAGTTGCTAATAGGACTGATGCTTGCTTCATTCGAGTTATTGGATCTGAGCTTGTACAGAAGTACGTTGGTGAGGGGGCTCAAATGGTTCGTGAACTCTTTGAAATGGCCAGAACAAAAAAAGCCTGCCTTATCTTCTTTGATGAAATTGATGCTACTGGAGGGGCTCGGTTTGATGATGGTGCTGGAGGTGACAATGAAGTGCAGAGAACAATGTTGGAACTGATCAATCAGCTGGATGGTTTTGATCCTCGAGGCAATATTAAACTGCTGATGGCTACTAACAGACCTGATACTTTGGATCCAGCACTGATGAGACCAGGGAGATTGGACAGAAAGATTGAATTTAGCTTACCTGATCTAGAGGGTAGGACTCACATCTTTAAGATTCATGCCCGTTCAATGAGTGTTGAAAGAGATATCAGATTTGAATTGTTAGCACGGCTGTGTCCAAATAGTACTGGTGCTGAAATTAGAAGCATCTGTACAGAAGCTGGCATGTTTGCCATCAGAGCAGGGCGAAAAATTGCTACTGAAAAGGATTTTTTGGAAGCTGTAAATGAGGTCATTAAGTCTTATGCCAAATTCAGTGCTACTCCCTGCTACATGACATACAACTGAGTCCTGAAGGATTTCAAGTGAAAACACTTATAAGTGAAGTCCTAACCTTATATAGACTTGTTAATAACCACTTTGCAAAAAAAAAAAAATGGCTTCAAAATTGTAAAAAAAAAACGTGGTACATATACACGATGGAATATTACACAGCCATAAAGAACAAAATTATGGACTTTGCAGCAACTTGGATTTACAGTCTACAATACTCAATGATTTATCCCAGACAAATAACTGAGTACCACATATTCTCACTCATAAGTGGACCCTGAACATCTACCAAAATACTATAAGGGATTGTCAGTAGCTGAAAACTGCCAGCGAAGAGGGGCACATAACATCAATAAGGGTACCTGATCTCAAACCAGGCAAAGTGGGGACTAAAGGGAGGCCCAAACTTTACCTGTATGGTGACCATCTGTATACCTAATCCTAAACTATACCTCACCTCTCTTTAAAAAAGGGGGGGGGGTTAGAAAGTTCTCCAGGAAACAGGAAAAGATGGAGGAAGAGACAGGCTCCTGCAATTTTACTTTGACGTCCACCGTTCAGACCCACCCTGAGCCATGTGGGTGCTGCTTTCCATATCAAACTCCTGACATTACAAATATTAGGCTCTGTCTTTTCACCCTTTTTTCATGAATAAAATAAAACCAAGTAAGAGACACGAATGAGTGGCAGAGATGAGGGAAGGAATATTATTGTTCCATGCTGCAGTTCAGACAGGGCTGATAGAGTACCCAACACACCTTTTCTCTATATTGAATTCTTCCAAGGGTCCTCATTGCTTCGCTGATCTACAAATGTTTTTAAATTTATTTATTTTTTAGCAATGGAGTCCTGCTCTATTGTCTGGCTGGCCTTGGACTCCTGGGCTCAAGTAATGCTCCTGCCTCAGCCTCCTGAGGAGCTGGGACTATAGCCACCCAGCTGTAAGTCTTTCCTGTGTAATCCCACCTGTGAGTAAAAGCAAACATCAGGACAGAGGTTGGGGCCAGGAGCCACCCTGCCTTCCACATCAGCTCTTTCCTCACACCTGCAGAGCCAAGTCCAGTAGTGCTGGCATGGCCTCAATGAGTGCCATGGCCATGGCCCTGCTGATTCCTTCAGTCCCACATGCTCCCCATTGTGTTCTATGAGAGCAGCATCAAACCACTCCCTACACCGTGCTGTCGCTACCTTGGAACTTCGCTTGGGCTGCTGGAACATCATCCCCCATGCAGCTCGTCATCCCCCACACAGCTCGGGAGGCACAGTCAGCCCTTCCTGGGAAGTCCTCGCCACATGCTGCTGGCACACAGCAACAGTATACTGTGTAGGGAGAACTCTATGTCCTCGGCAGGTTCACTGGCACCTCGGAGGCAGGGGGCACGTCTCATTCCCTGCTGTCTCTGCAGTGGGTCCCCTGTCACACTATATGTGTGCAGTGTGTTGGGGACACTGGCTGGCACAGCTCATCAAGGGACCATGAGATGAGCCTCACAGACAGCTCATGGGCTCCATCTCTCTAGGTGAGGAAAGACCGTGAAGCCAAGACTTCTACTTATAGATCTGTAAGTACTTTCACATCTGTTGCCTTTCATAACACTATGAAAGCCCTGGGAACCAGGCAGGAAATAATTCACAGCCCTTGCCAAGGAGGAGGAAACTGATACAGGCGAGGTGAGGTGCCTTATGCAAGGTCACTTAATGGGCTGCAGCCCTTTAAGTCTCCTTGAGGAGACTCTAGGGGCACTGAAAAATCTATAGAAATAAACTTCAGGACACATGAAACTAAATGTCTCATACAACTACACACAAGTGCTGGGGGCAATTAGAAGGCTTTGGGGGAAAAGCAAAAGAAGAACTTGGAACTGAAAATATCTTTTCATAAATCTCATGATAATTTTGAGAAAATATTTGCCTTTTTACTTGAAAAACATGAAATTTAGTTCAGTAATTCAGTCAAGAAAAAGTGGCTCAAAAGTAAAAGCTACGATTCTAAATTATACTGGTTGCTTTTTTTTTTTTAACCAATAATAAACTTAAATTGCTGGTAGGAAACCTGGTATTATATGGATTCTGTTATACTTGGAAACACAAGTTTTCTACTTATAACAGTTAACTTGTCAACTCTTTTATTTCAAAAATGAATTGTCAATATATAGTTTTATTAGGTTATTAGTTGTTATTTTATCATGAGTCAAACAGGCACGTTAGAAAAAAGTTTGAAACTAGATTTTAAAAAGTGAACCCGAGTCTCACTTTTTAACCATTGTAATATACCCACGAGGGCCTTTTGGTTCATTTGCTGCCCGTTCTTTTACTAAGCGAACGGGCCTTCCTTTGATAGTTTTGCCATGTGGCAGCACATCACGCACACCATTTTGCATCCTGATCTGTTTAGCGTAATACCACTAGATTACTACATTGTCCTCAGAACTGCATTCTGTAATTTACTGAATTATTCTATAATCTTTTTAGTATTTACACTTCAGTTCAGTTAACCCTTCTCCTGTTTTTTAAAAAGTAGGCTGCTGTCAAATTTTTACTATCATATATAATGCTTTACTGACTTTTATTTTCTTCTATTTTGTTTCTTTTAGATAAGTTTCTAAAGTATACTACCAAATCAAAGTAGATGATAATTTTTAAGACTTTTAGACCAAGCACAGCGGCTCACACCTGTAATCCCAGCACTTTGGGAGGCCAAGGCAAGAAAATTGCTTGAGGCCAGAAGTTTGAGATCAGTCTAGGCAACAGAGTGAGAACTCGTCTCTACAAAATAAAAAAAAATTAGCCAGGTGTGGTGTCATGTGCCTGTAGTCTCAGCTACTTGGAAGGCTGAGGCAGAAGGATCTCCTGAACCCAGGCAGTTGAGGCTGTGGTGGAAGGATCATCTGAACCCAGGAGGTAGGCAGAGACTGTGATGAGCTGTGATGGTGCCACTGCACTTCAGCCTGAGTAACAGAGTGAGACTCTGACTCAAAAAAATAAAGACTACTTTGATGTACTCTGCCAACTTGCATCCCTGAAGGAGGCACACAATATTACCAGCAATGAATGAGAATGCTGATTTGTTCATACTCATCAATAATCAGTAAAGTCATTTGTATCATTTCATTATTTTTTGTTAAGTAAAAAATATACCCTCATTGTGCTAACTTTCCATGAGAACAAATATTATTCCATCATATGACTAACTAGTTGAACTTCCTTTTTTGTGAATTACTTATTTGTATCAATTACCCATTTATTAATTGAGTACATGTCAGTGGATTAAAATAAATTTGTATAAACATTTTCTATAATTAAAATGTTAGTTCGTTTACCATATTGGTGGGAAATATTATTTATGGTCCATTTGCAATTTTGGTTTTAAATTTCACCTGGATAGTTGTATTGTTCCTTTCCTGCATGATTCTTCCAGAGGCTTTTGCTTCAGCTCCCTCCTCCCGTCCCCTTCTTCCTTCCCATTTCCCACAGTTTTAATATTACACACCCACACTCCAAAAGTATTACCTGCTGGTCATCAGGTGTCCATATGCCACATGTGATCTGACTTTCCAAGTTGATCTCAGATGACCAATGTCTTTGTCCACTGACAGAACCGACGAGGACAAACCCATCTCGATATGAAATAAGTGCTTGAGTTCCATCGTGGCTCCACGTGAAATCACTCACCTGAGGACACACAGAGAAGAGGGGTCAATTTGTAATCTGAAAGGGAAAGCAATTTCAACAAATCCTAGACAGTTATTAGAACGAAAGTCTAATATGGAGATGACCTTAAAGAAAACAATATAAAACACATTATTTGAAAAGTTTTAGGAAAAATGACTGAAACTAACTATAGTGTATACTGTACATCAGCACTGTTCTATGTGCTTTTCATGTACATTAATTCACCAAGACTCCTGACAACCGCCTATGGGAGGTACCATCCTCCCCATCTATAGAGAAGACTCAGTCGTACATGGTGGGCGAGGGCTGGAGCCGAAAGTTATCCCACGGACATGCAGGGTCCTTCCTTTCAACCAGTCTCCCACTGGCAGCTGATACGGGATTCTCCATCAGTGTTAGTTATTTGTCAAAATCGTAAAGCTCTAAGTTTATGATTATATTCCCGCTCAGTCTTGCTAACATTTCCTCAACCAAAATGAAGGAAAAAAAATCTAACCAGAAAACATCACTTGTCTTGGGTGTCAAGTTTCTCAAATGCATTTACTGCATCTTTTCAAATGACCATATGATTTTCCTCTCTATTAATCTATTTTGGTAAATTATTTGTATGGGTCTTCCACTATTATCCTATTCTTTCATACCCTATAGGAACCCAGTTTAGAGGTGAGGTACTATCTTTTATAAACACAGTTGAAGTTGATTTGCTAGTGTGTTTAGAATTTCGGCATCTGTACTTATGAATGTAACAGATCTGTGATTTTGGTTTTGTAATGTCCTTGTTTGGATTTAGAAAGACTGCATTGACCTCTCAGAATGAGCTGGATAGACCCTCTTTTTCTACTGCCTGGAAGAATCTGTAAGAACTTGGGATGACTTGTTGCTGCAAAGTTAAATAGAACATGCCTGTAGAACTACCTGGCTACGTATTTTTTCATAGAAAGATTGTTAACCATTTATTCATTTTAATAGTCTTAGTATAAGTCAAACTTACAAGTTTTTAACTTTTTATTGAGTCAGTTCTGATTATTTTTTCTAAGGAATTTGTCTAGTTCACATTTTCAAAATTGTTGGCAAGTAATTGTTGATAGTATTTATTATTCTTTTAAAAATCAACTTTACTGAGGTATAATTTACATGCAATAAATTAAATAATTTAACATGCAACATAATAAAATTCCCCCAGTAGCCAACCCCCCAACCCTCACCCTTGGTCCCAGGCAAACAGGGATCTGATTTTGGTCAGGAATTGCTCATTCTAGAATTTCGCATAATTGGAACCATAAGATATGTTAAACTTTTATGTTTAACTGCCTTTGCTCAGTATAAAGATCTTTAGAAACATCTGAATTCTTGCATGCTTCAGTAGTTCATTCCTTTTTATACATGAATATTACTCCATTGTATAAATACAACACAATTTGTTTATCCAAATTGCTGGACACTGGGGTTATTTCCAGTAGTTATTATAAAGTCACTATGAACATTAATGTGCAAGGATTTCTGTGACACATTGTTTCACTCCTATTTTTTCTTTTCTTTTTTTTTTTTTTTTTGAGTCAGGGTGTCACACTCTGTCGCCCAGGAAGGGGTGCAGTGGCAAGATCACAGCTCACCGCAGTCTCGAGCTCCAAGGCTCAGGCAATCCTCTGGCCTCAGACTACCAAGTAGCTGGGACTACAGGAATGCACTATCATGCCCAAATAATTTTTTTTTTTAAAGAGATGAGGTTTTACTATGTTGCCTAGGCTGATCTCAAACTCCCTGAGCTTCAGTAATCCTCTTGTCTCGACCTTCCAAAGTATTGGGATTACAGGTGTGAGACACCACACCTGGTCTCATTTTTCTTGAGTAAATATCTAGGAGTGAAATGAACTGCTAGGTCATATGATAAGTGTATGTTTTTTTGCTTTTTGGAATTTTTTTTGAGTTGGAGTCTCACTCTGTCGCCCAGATTGGAGTGCAGTGGCTGCTCCTG